AGATCGACTGGCTCCGACTATATCGCCCTTACTCAAGCAGCGTCCAGCTGTTGACGCTCCCGACGTACGCGTGGGACTTGCAAGATTTCTGGATCACTTACACCGAGAAGGGCGACGGGGTACGCGGAAGCCTCGCGGCTGATTCCCAGGTCGGCCCGAAGCAAATATCTACCTGTGCGCAGAGCATTGTTGCGGAGAGGTCGACGAGCAGTGAGTCCGAGGCTACTTTCAGGGCCCTCATTGCCGATCCAGGGATGGATGCCCTCATCGAAGGCCATCGGATCCGCGACATGGCAATTTGCCCCGGAAGCGTGTTCTGCGATGCTGCTTCTACTGTTGCCAAGCACGTGTTCGAAGGCATGGGCATGACGCGGGATATGAAGCAGCCTGCGCTGACGATCCGCAATCTCTCACTACGGCGTCCACTGCGCAAGAAGGTTAATGGATCGACTGAGGAACTTGTCACAACTGCGAATGTGAAGAAGCTCACTAATGATCTTGCTACAGTAACTTTTCACTCATCTGAGCAAACTCTGGGCAGCTGCACAGTCTCCATATGCGAGGCGGACTCCATCAAAGCTGGTTGGGAGAAGGTATCATTCTTCATCCAGGCTAGGATGGATGACGTGATCAAGAGCGCCAAGGAGGGACGTGGCCACAGGATCCAGCCAGACATATTCTACGCGCTCTTTTCAAACACAGTCAGGTACTCTCCATCTTTCAAATGCGTCAAGGGAGCATATGTCTCCGATGATTTCCAGGAGGCTGCCGCAGAGATCGTCCTGGGCTCTGATCCTATCGGAACCTGCTTCACCTCGTCACCATATCATGGCGAAAGCCTAGTGCACCTGGCGGGTTTTGTGCTTAACGCCAATCCAAGTCGACCGCGTGCCTCTGATACCACGTTCATGATGGACAATCTTGAGAGCGTTGAGCTACCAGATTTCGGAGCTCTAGTGCCGGGTAAATCATACCTTACTCTCGCCAGAGTCTCACGCAGAACCGAGGACTCTGCAACTTGCGATGTCTGGGTCTTTGACTCTGACTCGTCGGAAATGGTAATGCAATGTTCAGGTTTGCGGTTTCACGAGGTCAGCAACACTGTTCTAGACCGGCTTTTGGGAAAGACAAGAGTATCGGTTGCAGCACCTGACGATTATCAACTTCCGACGAACACGAATGTGGCGGCAGTAAAGGCTCCACAACCTTCCGCCAAGAAGCATGCCTACAGTCGCTCAGACGCCTCAGAGATGACCAAAGTTGAAGAGGGTTTGAGCTCACAGAATGAAGTTTTTGCTTCTATTCTGGAGAGCATCTCAAGAGAGACAGGCACAGACTCGGCGCAACTCACGGATGACACTGCTACGGCAGATGTTGGGGTTGATTCCATCATGGCCATTGAGATTACCGCTGCTGTCAAGAAGCAGACCGGCATCGATCTTCCGGTGTCCACTCTCATCGACTATCCGACGATTGGTGACCTGCGGAAGGCGTTTGGCGATGCAATTGGAACGACCGAGACTATTCACTCCTCGTCATACTCACAGGCATCGACCTCTCCGCCGTCTGTCAGTGAGGAGGAGATGTCGGATGAAAGTCTGTCTACTAGCTGCCCGACACCCGAGATCCCCTCTCACTGGGTATTGCTCGATCAGAAAGATGTTGAAAAGCCAGTCGTTACTTCAATCTCGATACCGGAGAGTGAATCACTATTGCCAAATAAATCGGTTTCGCCTTCTGTGACGAAGAAGCAGCAAACAATCTCTCCACCACCGAAGGCGCGAGTAATCCTACTTCACGGCCGTTCGAAACCAGATCAGACGCCGTTGTACATGATCGCCGACGGAACTGGTACGATTGCTGGCTACATTCATCTGCCACCCTTTAACACTAAGACGGCAATTTATGGTGTTGACTCGCCTTTCATTCGCTGCCCAGAGCGGATGAACGCCGAGGTTGGCATTGAAGGAGCCGCGAAGTTGATTGTTGATGCCGTGATTGAGTCTCGGCCTCAAGGCGCACTGTACATTGGCGGTTTCTCCGGTGGCGGCATGCTCGGGTATGAGGTCTGCCGTCAATTAGGTGACCTCGGTCGTCAAGTCGATGGCCTACTGATCATTGACATTTGCTCACCACGCACCAAGACCGAAACTAGTCTTGTTAAAGTCCAGCCTGAGATAGGCTGGCAAATGTTCCAAAAGATGGCTGCACAGGACGCATTCTGGAATTCGACGGCCAAATCTGCGCCGATGCAACATCTGCTGGGGATTTTCAAAGCCGTGGCAACCTACCACCCGGAGCCCATGACTTCCCGCCAGCGCCCCAAAAAGACTAGCATTGTTTGGGCAGAGAAGGGTATGGGCGGCCGCTGTGAGGGGAAGCCTGAATTGAAGCACGAGATGGTGGGCATGGGATTTCCAGCAGAAGCCTATCCTGGGTTCATGGAGGATCCAGCTTTAGGGGCTCTTGCCTGGGGCTTCCCTGACAAGCGCGGCTCTGAGGGCGCTTTGGGTCCTAATGGGTGGGACAAATACGTGGGAGAAGTTGGACAATGCTTGTCTGTTGATGCAGACCATCTTGAGATGCCGATGCCGGGACATGTGCACCTCATGAGGGAGAAAATTGAAGAGGCTCTCGCCTACTTTCAGGAAAGGAATTAGATAGTATTATTAGAGTTATAGACCTTTTAGTAAGATGTCTTTCAGCTTCTTCATCATTCCCGCTGTCCACGTAAATCGTTCTCAAATTAGGTACCTAACACAAGATTCTGTTCTTGGAGAGGTTTTCGCGCAAAGACTACACGAATCCTACACAAACAAGATCAAAAGATATCTAGAATTGGTCGAAGCGAAGAAGCCTCGCTGTTCCTAATGTTGAAGGTTACATTTTCGAGCCATAACTTGGCTACAAGTACAATGCGCTGCCCTTCGAACCAGCAGGATGTTTCACCTCTCCGAACCGGACTGAATTAGGTAAAAGTGCATCTTCTCCCGCCTCCGCTTCTCCGACTTGACTCAAACAGTGAGGCACACACCACCAAGTTAACACAACTCCATTGGAACACAGCGGTCCTCTTCGCTCTATGTACTAAAGACTCGGTTTTCGACCCGTGGGCGGATGCGCGACCTACCTGATGCTGTTCCAGCACTCAAGCTTACAACACACTGTTTCCGCCCTCATAAGAATACTGTAGCTTATGCCAGCCGTCGCAACATCGTCAGGAGACACTCTCTTCGATTCGGTCAATATGAAATACACTCTCCCGAATCCATCTGTCCAAGAACAAGACTTGGCAGGAAAGTTTGCCATCGTTACGTGAGTTCGAACCTGTAACTTAATAAGCTGGGTGCTCCAGCAAAGATTCGAGGCCACTGAATTTTACCGTAGCTGATCTTATTTAGTGGCGCCTCGAGAGGTCTAGGGCGCGGCATAGCCTTCCACCTCGCTTCCCGGGGCTCAAACGTATTAGCGACATGCTCCAGCGAGACTTCACTCAAGAATGTCGTCTCCTTGCAGGAGGAAATTAGGTTGCTCTACCAAGAGAGAAATCCCCAGAACCATGCGACTCCACGAATTTTCGGTGTGGTTGCACCTCTCACAGAGCCGAGCAAGTGTTGCGACAACATTGTGGCTGCAGTGAAGGAACATTTCAGTGGCGCTGTCAACATCTTGGTACAGAATGCTGCCCTGCAAGAGACCATGCCAATTGAAGCCATTGATGAAGGACATGTGCGCCGCATGCTGACAGGGAATATATCGACCGCTGTTCAACTTATCCAGGCCTTGTTACCGCACTTTGTTCCAGACAGCCGCATCGTCAATATTTCGTCTGAGGGAGCGCGCCAGAGTCAGCCAGCTCCAGTAACATTGCTCTACGGGGCCTGTAAGGCAGCGTTAGAGTCCATGACAAGGGTCTGGGCGGATGCTCTGGGGACGCGGGCTGGCATGGAGAGGACAACCGTTAATTCACTAATTGTCGGAGTCACGAAGACCGGTGATACAGCCAATGGGTTGCCCGAAGGACTACCTGATATCGAACCTGTCCGCCAACTCATAAAGTTTAAGATGGAAGCTTGTAGCGTGGATAGGAGGCTGGGTGAAGTAGATGATGTCGCTGAAATTGTTGGCTGGCTCTGCTGTGAGAAGAGTCGATGGGTGTCCGGGAGCGCCGTATGCGCCAACGGAGGAACGGTCAAAATACTGTGAAAGATTAGATCTTAGCACTGAGGGCACAGCGAACGAATTGCAATTCTATCATTGTCTTTCTGATAGGGAAGCGTCTGGTTACTTTGTGGACATGACATCCGGGAATGTCACTGCGGTCTGGTCTCCTTCTTTGAAACTTGGCTGCTCAACATCTCATCGACATCGGGGGCGAGCGTAGGACTTCGTGGCTATCGTAATTCAATGAGCTCTACGAATAACCAATTCACTTAACCCCCCTCCCCCGGATTAGACCATAGGAACTCAATTAAGACCAGAGCCCCAGATGGCTAGCCATTCAACTCACCAAGCAAGAGGCCTTTACAAAATTCAAGTGGTCCCTGTCAGACTGACATTGAGGCATCTCTTTGGCGAGGGCTGCAGTCTGGAGTTGGGTTTGCACAGGGCTGTACTTGTGGCCTGTGGTTAGAAGTCAAGGGCCATTCTTCCAGCAGCAATCCAATCTGCTGATTGCAATGCAATTACTGCTCAAGTCATATGAAACAGTGCATTCACGCCGGACTCTACGCCGGAGCTGTCTCCGAGACGTCCGATGCCCTCCGAGCTGGTCACAACCACGCGTGCCGAAACTTCCAAATGACTCGGTCGCAGGATTTACACTAGCAAAAGGTATGGGCCAAGATGTGTTGCATCCCTATGGGTGGGCAGAAACAGTATTAGGACCTAAAGCATTGACCTTTACTGCAATGAGGATTGTCGTCAGTAGTGCCTCGATGGCGCGACGTCAACTTTGATCCCCATGATCTACAACCTAGCCACACAATTATCAGCGTCTTAGACAAAGAAACTTGAGAGTCTCCGCAAGATCAACTGCTTTCAGCTCCATTTTACGAAGGTTCGCGATTTTAGGCGAGAACCAAGTCACCACCAAAACGATGGATAAGATGACAAGGGAAATGAACTTCAACACGCTCCATGCTGTATCAGGGAAAAGAATAAGCGAGTTTACCATGGAACATCTCAAAAACGCATCAATCAGCTCATGGCTTTCAGTCATCGCTCTATCGGTTAGTCAACAAAGACTACGATCTCTCTAATCACGGCTTGGACTTCGCTAAGAATAACCCAGTTCACAGCATATTGGCTCCTATTGATAGGATACCGCCTAACCCTACACCCATATGCAAAGTATCCTGGCCCTAGAATTGCTGCAGTCTCCGAATTGTGGTTTGCGTATTACTGGTAACAAACTTCACTCCAAAGATTAATTCCGGTGTCTGACAATGCGTAGGCTACGCGGTCGCTGGCCATGGGCAGTTGAGAAGGGGTTTGAAGAGTATGGCGATGTCGTACGAATCGCACCCAATGAGATCGCCATATTTGGGTACAAGCCGATAGTTGGTAAGTTTGTATTCTGTGAACATTTTTGCATCTATCAGACGCTCACAAGATACCCTTCATCCTAGACGTCTTGTTGCCTGGAAAAACGGATGATGCGCAGGCTTTCTTGAAGACCGAAGAGCTTGGAGCTCTTGCAGGAAAGCACAAGGGTTTTGCTGCTGATACAGATCCAAAAATCCATCGTTATGTCAGAAAGGCCATGGAACCAAGCTTCAACATGAATGCGATCAAGCGATGGCAGGAGCCCGTCTTGCATAAGCATTACGACCGATTCATTCGGAAGGTCGATGAGGCTTGCCGAAGGGGTCCTATCAACTTGACGGAGGTAAGTGGCAATACATCAGTGCAGGGGGATGCATTTGAGGTTAGGTCAAACTCAGGCTGACCTTCCAGTGGAATGAGTGGCTAAGCATGGATCTTGCCGGTGACTTGACATTTGGACATGACTACGGCAACATAGAAAAGGGTAAGTTATGGAAATCAAAGATGACAGGCAATTTCTAATCACTGAACAATCGAACTATAATAGGTAAAGCCGGAGAGTTCCTGGAGACATTTTCAAAGTTGAGCTTCTGGGGCACCGTGAACCAGGTCTCTACACGCTTCCCCCTTCTTTACCCGTTCGTGCTGCTTGCCTTAAGTCCTAGCTTAGCGACAGTGGCGCCGAAACTCCAGCGCATCAACAGTAAGTATATCAACGATCGAATCCGCCTCAGAGATTCCCTCGAACACGAAGACTTCATGTCATCTCTTATCAAAGAGGGTGGAGAACCGCCCGAAGTCGACTTTCTTGTTGCACAGAGCATGAACGTGGTCATAGGCAACGCCGAAGCCACTTCCAACATGTTCACGGTGTCAGTACATTTTCTCGGCATGCATCAAGACAAACTCGAAAAGCTAAAGATGGATATTCGGGATCGATTTACTTCCTACGAGGACATCAAATCCGACAATGTGCAGAATATTACATGGCTCAATGCTGTCATCAACGAGGGTCTTCGACTAGCCACTCAGGGCACTTCCGGTTTACCTCGCATCAGCCCTGGCGGTTTCGTTGATGGCCACTACATTCCGAAAGGGGTAATATTAAGACCTTGGCATCTAGTTGTGTAGATCAATTTCTGCTAACCCTCATCTGCATTTAGTACCGCGTTCAAACTAGCTTCTGGGCAGTCTTCCACTCGGAGCGTTACTTTGCGAAACCACGAGAATTTCACCCGGAGAGATGGCTTCCGAAAGATCATCCAGATTATGGAAAAGAATTTGAAAATGACAAGCTTTCTGTTTTCCAGCCTTTCAGTATCGGCACCCGAGGCTGCATAGGTCGTAAGACGGGGCTCTTGCAGGCGCAGCTGATGATCTCCAAGATGGTGTGGGCCTTGGACTGGGAGCACGTCAATCAAGGCGAGATGGACTGGGAACGAGATCTAAGAAGATACGCTATGAACCAATTGCCCCAGGTCGTTGTCCGTTTCCAGAAGAGATCTACATAGTTACGAATCGAAGTGTGTTTTTACAAGAGAGTAACAAATCTTGTTGTTGTAATCATCGTAGATATGCTTTCATGCACAAGTACTCATACATGCCTCCTGGAGTCTAGATTGAGATTCCACTGGAGCTTGCAAAGTTCATTTAAGTCCTTAAAACAAATCGTACGGATAACCACTCACATCATAGCGGTGTGGAGAGAAATTGAGCCAAAGCCTTCCTGAATATTGAATACCTAGCAATTTGAGACAACGTGAACCCAGCTTCCCGGCAAAATGTGTCGTCATTCACCTTGCAACTGTTCTAAGCAGCCTCTAGGTAGCTATTCCATGGTTCCATCTCTCAACCTAGCTTCAGGCGGAGGCACGGTCAAACATATCCTCCAGTCTTCTATATCTATGTGCCCTTATTCAATGCGTCTCATCATTCTTTGTACTACTGCTTTGCTCTCCTATTCGGCAAGTCCCCGGAGGAAGCGGTGTTTGGCATAGAGACTGGTTATCCATCTTCTATTCAACTTTCCAAAGATGTCTGTTGAGATTGACTGTTAGAACCTTCATGAAATCCGGGAAAGGCCTGTTGCTACTCACACATAGGAATGCAGGTGGTGAAAAGCCCGAGGGAGACAGTTCCTAGGACCATAAAGACAGTCCCAGGCCCAGCTTCAGTAGTCCACGTATTGATGAATGTTGAAAAAGAATAAAACAAGAAGTTCTTAAGCATCATTTGTACAATGAAAATCTCGCTGGATCGTTGTGGGAATGTGTCCCTAACACCCTGCCGTTAGCTTGATATTCCCGCAATCTTCCAAGATAAAGATGACGCTCACAAGATATAAAGCCCAGCAGAAGTCGAGGGGACCGAAATACTAAAAGCCATACAGCCTAAGCAGAAAGCCCCTAGGAAGTACCCGTTCGTAGAGGGGTGATCGACCACCCACATGAGCAGGAACCAACCGAGCCCACTCAGGGCGGCACCAAGTATGTTGACAGGGATCCGGAATTCTGCCTCATAGACGCCGCCATTCCATTTCGACATGATCATCGCAGACCAGTCGCAGAGTGAGCCAACAGGAATGGCAAACAAACCACCAATCAGTGCGCCAGCCCAGAAAAAGCCATTTTGCTCAATGTTGAGGTTGTAAGGTGGCATCGACCAGATCTGAGATAGAATGTAGCTGGATGCCACAAAGCAAGCATTGAGAACCGTACTGACGGTCAGAATCCAAAGCACAGCTGGGTTAATGAAGTTGACGAAGAGTTCAGCTAGCAAACGAATGATGTTCTTATCTGTGTACGTCTGTCGAGACCATGGTGATAGCATCTGCGCCAAAGTCTTCTTTGGGACGATGACCGCACCAGTCTCGGCGATGGTGTTCTTGGCTGCTGTGATGTCGATGTCGAGATGCCTTTTGACGGCCATAGTCTCCGCGTCGCTGTTGGATTGAGAACTTGAAGCTATGTCTTGCTGGGTAACAGCTGGTCGTTTGAACTGCATTTCAGGGAGCAAAGCAACTGTCATGATGAGCCCCGCGAGGTTGAATGGCAGTTCGGCGATGAACAGGACCTTGTAACCAAGGCGCTCTGCCATGACTCCGCTGACGATTGATGTCATCGAAACGGTGCAAGCTGACGAGGCGACCATCATGGCAATCCTCCAGCCGCGCTCATGAAGATAGAATACATCCCCAATTGCCGCAAGCGCTAAACTCTCCCAAGCGGTAGCACCCAGTCCTTGAATCATACGACCAGCGAATATTGTGTTATACTGGGACCTCTGAGACCCTGCTATACAGACCGCGGTGCCGAGGGTTCCGGCGATGGCGGCGAAGAGAAACTGCGGGCGTTTTCCATACTTCTGGGCAAGGATCGAAACCAAGGGCCTGTGGTAGAGCGCATATTAAAAACAAGGCTCAGGCAAGAAAAGGCTTTTAGTAGGAACGAGGGACTACGAACCCTATAGCCGCAACAACGAGGAGATGGTAACCAGACAACTCAGCAACTTTTGTGATGCTTACGCCAAGGATGGGGGCAAGGGCAAACGTGGCCGGGCTAAGCATGGGACCAGGAAGCGAAGCGAAGATGATGGTGTTGAAAAAGATAACCCAAAAAGCCGCTTCCTTCTGCCAGTTGGTCCAGAGCTTCCCGCGTCATGTGCGTCAGAGAAATCATGTCCTTTACGTTGAAGGTTTGACTCACCAATGGGTCATTTGGATCGTTCAAGGATGGTTGAGGGACCAAGACCGTGTCAACTCCCTACCCGGATGTCAATATGATGTTTGGGATGATCATGGAGATTACTCATGGTAATTATTACCATGTAAATAGTTCTTTTGAGAATGCTACCCCGGCTTGGGCCGTCGTGGTCTGAATCATTTGTACTAGATGTTCTGACAAGATGAACGGTCCCTGTAAGAACTGCATCCTTACCAAGTTTCGCGTCAATAATACCAAGAGGCATTTTTGGATGTGTCTTGTTAATTTGTTGGTGCTCGGTTGAGCTCTACGACATCAGAAGCTTTGGCAATTGATGGCGCCTATTATGTTTTTATTGACGAGCGATATCTCGAAAGGTGGAGATCTCAAAGTTTCATCGTGCAAACAGCTTCTTACGGCGTCACGATGATGTCTCAAAGACTTCTTAATTTCACACTCCGAGATGATCTGTTGTCACTGAGCGGCCTCCTCCTAGGTCTGAGGTCCGCCGGTTGTGTGAAGATCGAATAACAGCCATTTTGTGTACAGGGCCTGCATAAGGCCCGCAAGCTTATTGTAACATGTTTTGCAAGGCTGGCACACGCCAGCTTCAACCTATAAAACCTCAATCGCGCTGTGGAATTTCTGAAAATGAATATTTGATGTTGATAAGATGGGCAATGGAGGTCGTCCTAACTTCTTAAATGTAACCTCGCGCTTCCGCGGGCGTCCGCCGGCGCTTGTGCCAAGGCAAATGTCTCCGACTGAGCTTCGGAGGTAACCCCACCGGCCCGGACCTTAGTCGTGGGCCCGAGATTAACTCTCCGAGCCAAGTCCCAGTACCGGTTTCACACCTTTCGTACCATACGATATCTCAACATGCTACATTCAGAGATCGGCGTTGTGCCGCAGAGCCAAACAATCCGTGTGATTTGATCGTCTCGGGGTAGTCAGATAGCAAAGCGTTCCGTGCATATCGCTGCGAAAGTTGTGGCAGGTGCTGAATTTGGATCACTTGTGATGCTCGCCATGTACATTGGCATGGGTTGTTGGATCATACCGATCTCCAGTCTGTAGATCTTAATCCTTGCTCAAGCCTTGAAAACTGAGAACGCATTTTACGCTCGCCTGGTGCCAGAGTAAACAGTTGAATCAACATACCATTGTATACCTTTCACGAACAGAGTCCAAACCTGCAAGATGGACGCCGCAAAGAGTCAATCTACGAAGGTGGATTCTTGGTTCGTCCAAAATCTGGATGACAACACAGAGCCTTATCTGAGGCGTATTTCGACCGGAAATAACACACTCTCGGATCGTTTGCAGTTCAATATTGACGATGGACAGAGGCTTACGGACCCTATTAAGCTTGATGAAGATGAAGGCAAATACCCTGAGGGCATTACACTAGTGCTAATCATACTTGCACTGGCACTGGGTCTTTTTGAGGTAAAATCCCAACAAGCAACAGTCGCAACTTACAAAGATTCTTGAATCATGGCAAAGTGAAGACTTCTCCAGCTAACAGTTTTACTCAATGAGCTAGTTCGCTCTCGATGCCACCATCGTTGCCACTGCTATCCCCGTCATTACCACCGAATTCAAAGCCCTCGCAGATGCCGGCTGGTATGGCTCTGCATATTTGATGACGATTGCGAGTTTTCAAGTCCCATGGGGCAAGCTGTACAAGTTCTTCATTCCGAAGTGGATCTTCCTGGCAGCGCTCATCATCTTCGCCGTCGGGAGTGTACTTTGTGCCATTGCCCCCAACAGTGCCTTCCTAATTGCCGGGCGTGCGGTTCAGGGCATTGGGGCTGCTGGTTTAACTGGCGGCGTCTATGTAATCCTGGCGCTCGTCACGCCTCGGAGCAAGACGCCAATCTATCTGGGCGCATTCGGTGCCATCTTTACCGGTGCGAGTTCCCTTGGGCCTATCATCGGCGGTTTCCTCACAGAAAAGTTCTCATGGAGGTGGTGGTGAGTCCAATCAGCGTATAATATGCACAAAAGAGAAGAGAGCTGACAATTGCACGTCGTAGCTTTTGGATCAACATACCCTTTTCCGTTCTCGCCGGAATTATCGTTCTGTTTTTCTTCAAGATTCCAAATACTGTCAAAACCGTCAGGGCACCATGGAAGAGCATTGTGCGTCAGATGGACCTGATGGGTGTCGTTCTTATCACCGGTATCATCGCTCTATTTGTCACCGCAATGGAGTCCGGAGGCATCAAACACGAGTGGGACTCTGGCTTCGTCGTCGGTACGCTAATGGGATCGATCACTATTGCCATGCTCTTCGGGTTTGAGCAGTACTTCATGAAAGAGGACGCTCTTTTGCAAGCAAGGTTCTTGACCAATATGAAGATCGGCTTCCTTTGCGTTTTCGCATTCATGTAAGTGGACCACCAGCTCTATATATACTTGGGACTTTCTTTTGACACCGTCGTAGGCTTAGCTCGGTTGCGTACTCAATCCAGTATAATCTGCCTGTCTACTTCCAGGCAACCAAAGGGTTTACTCCCGCACAGAGTGGTGTCAACGTTCTTCCCCTGTTAATTGGTGGAGGTGAGTCATGTTGCCTTTGATCCATTCTTCTTGTATGACGTCTAACATTTACATCGTAGCATTTCTCACACTATTATCCAGTGTGGCGTACTCCAAATATCGGAATGACCGGCTATATTGTGTTCTCTCTGGTGCTCTTACGGTGCTAGGCTCTACACTGATCCTCACCCTTGGCCCGGACTCTACACCAGCTCAGTACCTACTATACCAGCTTATAGTAGCCTTTGGCTATGGCTTAGGAACCCAAGTTCCAGTCCTAGCTGTCCAGACTACAGTCGATGTGCAAGACGTGCCCCAGGCCACAAGTATTGTCCTCCGTAAGTCTTCTCTGGGGCCAACAGTCAGCTTGCTATAAGTATCAAAAAGTATTGTACTAATAGACGGATACTCACAGTTTTCCAACTTCTCAGCGGTGCACTTGCGGTATCAGCAACTCAGAACCTCTTCAACAACATCATGTTGCAGAATGCTGTGCGAAACGTCCCCAGTCTCACCGCTGCCCAGATCTTGGCCGCAGGATCTACGGATCTGAAAAAACTCTTCTCCGCGGACATTGCTCCTCAAATAATTGCAGCGTACACAGAAGGTCTTCGAGCATCATGGGCTATGGGCATTGGATTCGCTGGCGGTGCCTTGATTTCTGGGGTGTTTGTTGGAGCTTGACTTGGCTTACATGTTTGCACGCCAAACACTCATTTGGGAGGGGAGTTTTATTTCTAACACTCTTGCTCTAAAATCGAATTGCGGTTAGAGTCACTTGGCAGAGTGTTGACCAAAACCTTGATAGAGTGTCCAAGTCAATCAGACAGAGTACACTTGTTCCTAGGATATTGCCTGTGAACATATTGCTTCTTCGAAGTTCAGGCAGACATGCCATGTCATTGTCTGAAGAGCGCAAATTATTTGATTGTACAAGTTCATGCGAGATGAAGAGAGGCGACACCGTGGATTGATATTTTACACAACCCAACCTGAAAGCATGATATAACAAGAGATAGATGCACAAGAAGAAGTTGTTCTTCTTGTGCACCTTACTTCATCTGCTAGGACATGAGTTAACTTCAAAGTTGTGTCTGGTCTCGATTCCTTCTAGTGTGCTTTTTAATTATAGCGAGGATCGCTGGCTTCGAAAAGAAGCATACACCCGACTACCTCATATCGTACCTCATTGAACATCTTCTGGAGAGGCACCAAGATACCCACTGCATCGTCCTCATGATTATCAAAGACCCCCAAATAGTTGTTCAACCACAATACAAGGCGCGCCAGCGGATTACGGTTCACACCCTTACCCAAAATAGTAGCCCCGAACACGACCCCTCCAGGCCTCAACAAGCGACCCATGCGTCCCAAAGCCTCCGCCTTGCGTGCTGGTGGGCCAGGCAGGCAATGCAGCAAGAACATGAGAGATATAGCATCAAAACCGCCTTCCGGCAAACTATTTCCCTTCGCAAACAAACTTTTCAGCTCGTCACCTTGAGCCAGGAAGTCACCAACGACCTTCGTAGCGTTGGTGCCGACCTCCGGATGTGCCCTTTCAATGACGGGTAGAGTAACGTCCAGGCACGTCTCGTTGAGGTCGACAAGAACGTACTCGGTCCATTTAGGCAAAGGAGCTCTTGCGGGGAAGTATCCTGTGCCAACGCCAATGTCGAGGATTCGAGTGGGTGGGGGACCGCCCGGGTTGGACTTGTACGGCTCTGCGGCGCGAGCTATATTGCGGTTGAAGAAAGAGATGAGTTTCTCGGCTGAGCAATTCCAACCGTAAGGTGAAACGACACCAAAGACGAGAGTGTCGTAGGTTTTCAGGTTGCTTGGATTGTATGCATCTGCACCTTTTGCTGTGTCCAGCTTTTTTGTTTGAGTCTGAGTTGAGTTTTGTGACATTTTTTCTAATGCTTGAAAACTGGCAATTCGTGGACCGTCTATGAAATGAAGGTCTTGCGGCAGGGCGTAGAGCATATTGGTTTCCCGAAATTGATGAGAGTGAAATCTTTCAGATGACGGGTCCTGAGATACTAATCTCGAGTTCGAGCATTTGTATCAGTGCTGAGCCCATCTGTGACCACGCCGACTTATTCCACTTAGAGGTGGTCTGTTCCTAGGCTTGACTCCTCGCTCCTTTGATTTGGGTCAGAATTTCACTGGAGACATTGTAGGGTGTACCTCAAGACTGTTTCAAAAAAGTTCGACGACTCCGAGGCGTACCCTAAGCAATCGGCGAGCAACCGCAGAGAAGAGCACTCGGACAGCAGACGGAACGAGTCGGAATGAGCCTACGACCGCTGGAGAATGGAGCCAGGTCCGAACTGCCTCTGAGGCCCATGCTCCCACCATGACCTCCGAAAGCTCCGGGCATATCTTGCAAGGTCGAACCTAGGAGCGGAGGTCAAATGGATCCAGAACAACCAGAGTTCACCTTCAGTTTCTGAGCGCTCTTGTGTTTTCTGGAGATTGACGATTTAGTAGAGTCTGGAACTGTGAAGGCTGATTTCTTCGTTCAAGTTTTAGCACTCAGAAATTTGCCTCAGTTTATACTTCGTGAAGTGCATACTTCTCTTTGTGTCTGTCAAGAATCCCCTCAGAATAACCATCCTAAAGAAACAAAAAAAAAAAATGGCGGCCATCGAATCCATCTTCCAAGAGTATGCAGAGCGCCTCAACCGCCGACTTCCCGGCGAGAACATGGCGAAGTTCTCGTCTCCTGGACACTCATCCTCTCAGCTTTTGAATTTGCCAGCCGGCTTCGAGCACCTAGAACTGTCAAGTGACGTGAACATCACCATCCTTCACCAAATTGGCGACGCTTTTACAGGCGACTTGGCTGCGATTCTCCTCGTGCGGATATCTCCCAAAAGCGTCTTTCCTGCTTCAACCGCCACTGCGGTAATCGAATTCCGGCGACACGTTTTCTGTCAAGTTCATGGCACCACTATCTCCAACATCATGATTATAGACGATGTCGATGCGTTACGCAACAGCGAATCGCAGGCGGTCCGGCCCCCAAGCTGGAGCGCTAAAGCTTCTCCTCCAGGGTTCTGTCTCACTGAGGCGTACCGCGCATACTTCAACTGCGTCTCCACCAGGACCATGGAAGAGAACCTGTCGAAATTCACCCATGACCACATTACGTTCAATGAGCATTCTGTAACCCGTGAACAGTACAGAGGGGCCATGGAAGAGTGTCACGATGTCATGGCGGATTGCAAGAACACGCTCGAGAAGCTTATTGTTGACGAGGAGAAACAGCAACTTGCAGCCAGAGTGGTATTTGAGTGGACACCAGTTAAGGCTTGGAATGGAATAGAGCCAACGGGTAAAAGAGTCAAGTTTACAGAGCATGTATTTGTATGGTTCGACGAGGGGAAAATGCACACAAGTATCACATTGTTGGATATGGAAGCTTTCAGACAGCAGATGAGAGTCTAGTTTACGAATCTTGAACCGGCTATTCGATGTGAATGCTTAGTTGAGGTTCAAACCCTTGATTTTGACAATGATCTGAAGAGCTGTCACTTGGCATTCGCTGTGGAACTTGGATCAGTTGGCCTAAGCACCGGAGGGCGTTTCGGAACCAGCACTGGACCTTTGCTGCTAAACCGGACAGTCTCGGAGCATCTCAGCGTTCAACGCTGGCCATTGTAAGAGCTAGGGAACTAGTAAGGTAACAACTGTAGTTGCCCATCCACTGCGCGGAAGGTTGACTGATCGCTGTCGCACTTGACGAAGCCCATATTTGAACATAAGGTACCGCGATCATGACCATCACCAATTCGGTCGTCATCAACATTAACAATTACTAAATCATTAGCAACATGGAGCATGACCGTGCAAATATCAAGGTCTCAGAGCAAGACCTCGTCGGCAAAGTGGCAATCGTGACGTAGGTTTCGTCATTTTCCCTTATCGTTGAATCGCCAGGTCATTTTCCTTCTGTGGCTTCTGCTAATGTACGGCTTGTGTCCCAGTGGTGCTTCGCGCGGCATTGGACGAGGCATCGCCGTTCACCTCGCAAGCCGTGGGGCGAATATCATCGGAACATGCTCTGTGCTATCGTCCTTGGGCAAAATCGATGATTTGAGAGCCGAGATAGATTCCCTGTACAGAAATTCCAACAAGAGTTCTGTACCACAGATTAAAGGCGTGGTTGCGCCTTTACTGGAGCCTCGAGAGTACTGCAGTGCCATCGTCAATGCCGTCAAAGAGTATGGGAGTTTGAACATACTTGTGCAAAACGCGGCGGTCGTGGAGGTCGCGCCAGTGGGCACGATCACCCAGGACCACATTGATCGCTTACTTACGGCCAATATTGAAGCACCTGTATTTCTCGTGCAAGCACTTCTCCCGTACTTCCGGCCGGAAAGCCGAATCATCAACATCTCTTCCGAAGGAGGCCGAGATCCTTCTCCAGTTGCTCGTACGTAGCGTTGCTTCTTTCTACTCCTACTTCCTAGCCTACTTGCATCTGATGATTTGGTTCTGATACATCGGGACTACAGTGGTTTACAGCGGTTGCAAGAGCGCTATTGAATCGATGACTCGCGTGTGGGCTGACGCTTGGGGGACAAGGCCTGGGATGGAGAGGACTACAGTGAACTCAGTTGCTGTTGGCAGTAAGTTTCGCAGCCACCTTGAACCGAAAATTGCCAAAAGCCTTGTCGAAACCTGACCATCGTCCATCAGTTACGCAAACCGAATTGGCCTCACAAATGCCGGACACCCCTGAGATCCGCCAGTTCCTTGAGGTAAAGAAAACCGCATGCAGTGTGGAAAAGAGGTTGGGGAGAGTCGATGACATAGCTGAAATCGTAGGCTTTCTGTCATCTGAGAAGAGTCGATGGGTCAGTGGGAGCGTGATCTGCGCAAATGGCGGTACTGTCAAGGTTCTCTAGGTCAATCAATTCCAGGCCAAGGTGTCTGTCCTTACCAGGGCTTCGTTGTCCAGCACCAAATAGCCACGACGAAAAACATCTCCAGATGGGCTTTCACGAGTTGATTAAGTACCAAGGTCATCGAATCAAACTAGAATTGAACAGATCCATCGCTTTGTGTCGGTGTGGGCATCACCTTACTCTAATCAGTACCTATGCCTCGTGGAACTTTGACAACATAGTTGGGCTGAACAGAGATGAGCAAAAACCTTACAGAGCTGACGGGCTGGAGTGACCCAGGTGCCAGGGGGAATTAATCATTGCTTGAACACAATTTTCCAGATGATCTATGAAAGTCTATGAAAACAACCTCCAGCCCGAGTGCAAACTAAACGCCAATCCGAAAGAATTTTCAAAACCCCTTGTCATCCTTTGAACGCCGGCCCCAGTCCCGTGCCCATACGAAATTATCACTCAAACGCCACCAACTTGCTCTTGTCGGCTATCCTAGCTGCAAAGACCTCCATGGGAACCGCAGCCAAGACCTCCAAAAGAGCCACAGTTGCCTTCATCTCCCTAGTGATCCAGTTTCTGACCTCGAGCGCAACCAAAGAATCAACACCATAGCGGTACATAGGCCGGCCCGGATCAACTTCCGACACGGGCATCTGCAAAATGTCGGCCACCTTCTTTACCAGAGCCTCTGTGATAATATCCAACGCCTGCTGCTTGCTACTCGCCTCAGATAAGCGTGAAGAAAGAGAAACGGTGTCTGACTTTCCAGCACCCGAAGCACTTGTCGCTAAGCTCGTCACCGCGAGAGGTCCGAAACGCGGGATGCTGAAGTATCCCGGCTGATCGAGGCCGTGTGCTGCCATGATGTCTGCAGTGCCCAAGCCGGTTGTCACTTGAGCTGGCGGCCATGAAGCCGGGTTTTCGCTCTTCTGCCGATTGATGAGGCCCTTGAAGAGGGCATGAAACGCTGGCTCTCGGATGCCCAGGGTCTCTTCCCACAGCAAGAAGTTGCCCGTCGCACCTTGCTCTGCCAGCACACCAACGTCACGCATGATACCCAGGTTGACCGACACGGCCTTGAGCCCCTGTGAACGGCGGTAGTGCGCCAAAGTGTCTTGGTATGTGTTGCCGGCGGAGTACTGTGCCTGACTAGGGTAGCCGTACATACCCGAAATGGACGAGCAGATGATGAAGAACTCTAGGGGGCGTTCATGGTTGAAGTACTCGTGAAGGTTCCATGTACCTTGCACCTTGGGTCTCAACCCAGTCTTCCACCAGTCGTAAGACATCTTCTCGAAGACGATGTCGCGAAGAGCCATAGCCATCTGGACCACACCCTTGACGGGCGGAAGCTCTCGTTCGCATTGATCCAGAGCAGCCTGGAAGGAAGCAGGGTCCGACACATCACCGCGGTAGGCCTTGACGTTGGCGCCCATGTTGGATAGCTCTTTGATCAGAGCCTTGGCATCTGGGGAGCCGTCTCCAGATCTTGAGAGGAAGGCAAGGTTACGAGCGCCACAGGCGATGAATTGCCGCGCCAGACTGCGGCCCAGACCACCTAGGCCACCAACAAGAAGGTAAGTGACATCAGCGTTGAGCTTGAGGGAGTTCTTAGCCTTGCGCAGGATTGGCGCCTCTGCGTTATCCGTGAATGCCATAACCATCTTGCCGCGGTGCTTTCCTTGCTGGATGGTGCGGAAGGCGTCTCCCACTTGACCCATGGAATGCACCGTCAGGGGGCTCGGAGCACGAAGCGTACCCATATGGACCAACTTGAAGGCTTCATCGAGGATCTGTCCTAGCGCAGCGGGGTCCTCCTCGTAAAGTGTGAACTGGTTGAAGAATGTGAACGTTGTGCTCTTCCCGAATGGTCTCATGTCAAGCCGAGTGTTGTCGAGAATGTCGCGGAGACCAATCTCGACAAAAGTGCCGAAGGTGGCCAGACACTCCCACGACGTCCGAAGAAGCTCTCCTGAGAGTGAGTTGAGAACGCAGTCAACACCGCGACCATTCGTGACGCGCATCACGCTCTTTGCAAAGCTGGCATCGCGAGAATTGAAAATGTGCTTCTCGGGAATGCCATACGTGTTGACCACTAGCTTCCGCTTGTCTTCGGAGCCAACGGTGACATAGACGACCAAACCCAGGTGAAGAGCAATCTGGACAGCCGCTTGGCCTACACCACCAGCGGCAGCGTGGATCAGAACCGACTTGCCCTTGGTAAGCTTTGCGAGGTTGACAAGGGCATGGTACGCAGTGGTATGGACGACAGGCATTGCAGCGGCCTCCTCGAAGGACATGGTGTCGGGAATATGAGCAACAATGCGATGGTCAACCCGGATCTTCGTAGCGTGTGTGCCGACGCCCAAGAAGCTCACGCGGTCACCGGGTTTGAAGCGGCTTGCTTCACTTCCAGTCTTGACAACGACACCGCTGCCTTCCTGTCCCAAGACAGACATGGGAATGAGTCCCATAGTAGCCATGATGTCTCGGAAGTTGATGCCCGTGGCTTTTACCTTGATTTCTACCTCGTGGTCTGCAAGAGGGGCATTCAGCCGGTCGTCCTCAATAAACTGCAGTGTGTCCAACAGACCGGGTCTCTCAATCGAAAGCCTCAGGTCCTCGTCGGCGCCAACAGATGTGACCCGGGTCGAATCGTGCAAGTGATGCTTGATGGAGTCATTCTCCGTTAAGCTCCGATAGATACGGGTCACCTGCAAGACACCATCGCGTTCATGGAACTCATCATCTTTTGTGGTTTCCGAAGACAAGATGCGAGATGCCAGTGCCGGGCCATGTTGCAGGCCCGTCTCTTGACTCAGATGCAGAACCTGGAACCGAGTGCCTGCAATCTCGCTCTCAACACAGCGTGACAAACCATCAATCACGCCGAATGATGGGTTGTCTCCACAGGTGATCCAAAGAAGACGCTGGTATGCTAGAGATAGAGCCTTCACAACTTGGTACTCCTGCTCCGACAGGTCGTCGAGTAGCGGCTTTTCGAGTTCCAATAGAGAAATGAGAACTTCGCTTTCTGCAACATCAGACTTCGGCTCGTCGGTCAAGGTCCTCGTTGACACCGCGTAGTTTTGAGTGATAAGAGATTCCTGAAGAGACTTGGAGAATTGCCGAGACTCATTGGACATAGTCGTCGGCTCCATGATTACTGCCTGCCGAGCAGGAGTGCCGTTGGTCGCGGGCTTCGCATTCGCGTTTCTAGCACCCCAGTACAGCGCAAGGCGCTCATCTCCCTCAACTCCAAAGACAAAGTCATAGCCTCTAGCTTCCAGTCCTCCAGGAGTGGGCTGTTGTTTGGCAGCAATGAGAACCGTTGCCTCTGGCTTGGTGAGGTTGAGAACCCGTTCAAGGAACTGGTCGCGCTTTTCAACCTTTTCCACATCGCTGGAGATGATCAAGAGATCGGCCTTCGGAATGTTCTCTGGCAAAGGGCTATCTACTGCGCCGAGTTCAAATGCCTCGCCGACGAAGGCTGGCTTGTCGGTCGACGGGCTCTTGGCGGCGTTGATGACCGCATAGCGAACTTGACTAGAGCGTACGATGTCCCCGGGTAGGCTAGCGATGACTGAGTTGCGCGCGGCATCGTGGTCCGGGACGAGCTGTAGGAGCGTAGCTGCCGGGTTCAAGTGAAGTGCCATCCGAATGATCTGTATTGTCAATGTTAGCACCCCGGACGAAGTCTCCGGCATGGTTTACAAGCATACCTCAGCCATTCTATCCTTGGGTTTGATGGCGGAGACCACTCGGCTGATTTCCTGTGGCTCCATAACATCCAAGGCATAGTTCCAGCGAACTTCTGATGTGATGTCGGTCGGATCAACCTCATTATCTTCGCGACCTCCGCCATCATCCATGTTCAGCTCAGCGACTCGGAAGTCCTTCACCACGAGGTAAGGCTTGGAAACATCCTCGTCGAACATGAACATATCCGCAGACAAGTCCGTAAAGCCATATCGCTCCGAAAGACAGAGCCCAGGCATGACGTAGCCCACGTCGCCAGGAATATCAGCAGAAATTTCGAGCTCGGTAAAGTGAACAGGCACGAAGGGTCTCGTGAAGTCGAAGCCTCCGTCCTTATCACCTATCCACGTGCTGCTCAGCCAACTCTGGAAGACTGCATCCAAGGTACCAGCGTGAATGAGAAAGGGTCGCTCAATTTGCCCCTTACTGTAGGTCTCCCCGATATCGGTCACTCTGATATTGAATGTGCTCTGACCGTCGCCGACATGGCATCCCTCGATGCCCTGGAAAGCTTCTCCATACTTCCAAGAGGCACTGTTCATGTGGTTGTAGAAGTTCTCTTTGGCGTACTCGAGATTCGACTCCTTGTGAACACGATGATATTCCGCTACTCTCGAGGATGCGATGATAGCATCCTCCTCTGCCATCTGCGGAGTTGTGTCTTCATGGTAATCGATGGTCATCAGCCCACGGCAGTTGTCCCTCAGCTGGTCACCTCCCACGCATGAAGACATGGTAAACTCCCACCATGTTGCAGGGGTTGATCCAAGCGTGGACTGGAGGTAGGGCCTCATGTGAACAATGACTTCTGTTGCAACTCCTTCCGGGAGAGCCATGGCAGCGAAGAGAGACACATCGCGTAGACGGAAAGCTCGAGCAGTCTTTCCCGGTGCAACAAGCTGTTGACTAGCTTCGAGAATGATACTGGTCATGCCAGCACCAGGGAGAAGCACGGTGCTGCCAACCATATGCCCACGAAGCCAAGGCTCGTCTTCAAGTCGAAGGAAACTGCGCCATACCCTCTGCGTCTCATCCATCATGGGTACAGGCGCTCCAAGCAGACTTCGAGTGGGGAACTTCTGTGCCAAAAGTTCCTTTGCAATGCGCGAGTCGCAGCGGAAAACCTTCGAGTGATTCCAGGGATACGGCGGCAAGTTGGTGAGAAGCTGGCAGTGAGAATCTCCATTAACCTTCTGGAGTTCCAGAGAGACACCTTCAGCGAAAAGCTCGGAAGCCAGCTGCAAACT